GTGGTGGTGACTGACCCCATTCCTCTCCCCAGCAACCATGTTCTGTTGTTTTAGATCAACACAAAAATCCATGTTCACAACATAGATTTTCATATCATTAAGGCAGATCCTGCAAGCAACAACATTCAAAATTATATACGTTATGATACAATATTGTGATAAAGAAAGCCTTTAGAAAATCCAGTTATTAAATTAAAGTAGCTTGGCTCTCTTAAAATGCATCTAAGTAAATTCTGAGAACTTTTCCTCTTAAGGAAAAAAGAAGATACAAGAAACCTAGCTGAAGCAATACAGGAGGCAAGCTATCTCACCCCAGTGGATCCCAACCTTTTCCGTGCATTCAAATCCTGTACACACCCATGTTCCACAATGGAGCTTCTAAATCTACCAATCATGATGCTTTTATGGCGGCACAAAGATTTTTAATGGTGTGATCGATGCACGTTCAAATGAAGCCACTGTGTTCAGTGAGGTTTCTTCTTAAGGACCAGTTACTACACCAGCACATATTCAGTGTAGCACCTAATATAGAATTGGACCGGAGATGTATGTAAGATGGTGTTTCATCTGCATTACCACAGAAGTAGACTCTCCATAGAAGAGGTTCATTGAACAGATTTTAAATGTTCAGCATCAATGACACCCCACACAGATGGTCTGAGCCTTTATCTCAATCAAGGTTCTTCACCAGCATATTGATCTTGAAAATATTATGGAAGCAAACCACTGAAATTCCACAGAAACCAACAAAGCTGTTCCAGTTTAACCTGTCTCCAAATCTACCCCGTGTGCGCGCGCGCGTGTTTGCGCACACAGCTTGCTTCTTTCAAATCAGCTTGCTGACCCTCATTAGGAGTTAAACATGTGACCACTGTTAACAATTATTCTATAGTTGAGAACACAATTGCTAGGCATTAGCCATTCTTGAAACAAACCCAAGCCTTAAGCCTCTGCACTGTCTTGCCATCTTCTGTAACTATGTTTGGCACCATGAATCCTTCATTAAGAAAATCTTACCATTCTGTAACTATAATACATTTGTCTTCATAACTAAATAACATGTAGGGCTCATGTATGCACTGCACCTTTTCCTGGTTCTGTTAAGCTTTTAATTGGGTTCATTTAATTTTTTTGAGGCATCCTTTTCTTGATGACTTTTATCCAGCCAAGGACAAACATGGGTCTCTGAGAAGAACACATTCATTGGGTGTTATCTCATCCTACTCGTCTATTGGTCTGCTGGCAAAAGTCAAGCCCCTGGGCTCTCTCTGGCTTCATTTTGGAGTCAGCTAACGTGCAACCCAGACAGGGAAATCATAAGACAAGACCCTGGCAAAAAAAATCTCATGGACATACCCATTCTTGCACGTTTTTAATCCACCCTCTCCACAAATATACTTTTCCAAAGAAACAACCAAGTTAGCTCTTAATAATTTACACCCAATTTGTGATGTTATCATCTTGCAGAGCAATCTCCTCACAGGCAATTGCCCTGTATTCAGAGGGACTTACTCCCAGGATTGCAGCCTGCCTACAACATACTTTCTTGGAAGTAAGCCTCAGTGGATGTAGAAGGACCCACATTCGGCCAGACATTAGAGGACTGCACTGCTGGTCCCTACAGCTGCTTCATTCACAATTCTTATTCTCTCTCTCAACTGAAAACAGTGCTTCTTTTTCTTTCCGCATCTGCATTTGCATGACTTAACATACACTTCTGTGGCATCTGAGAAATCCTACTGACTGGGTCTGGGCTCCTGAAAGGGAGATGCTTCCTCTCCATTTCCTCCTTCCATACCCCAACATTTAAAATTGTCACAGATAACGTACATTTCTATGTCACATTTATACAAGACAGGAAAGAAAAGCTCAAAATTAAGTTACCCTAACATACACTCAGTGAATAGGCAAGAGCTTGTCATTCTGTTCCACATTAATTAAATTATATTTATTTTATGGGACTGTAGAACATGAAACAACACATCCATTTTTTTGAAGTTAACGTTTTGTAAGTTGGAGGGGACTGCTGCTACAAACGCACCCCATTCAGCTTTCTTGTACTCACCCCTACAGTAGCATACAAGCAAAATGTATGGATGGGGAAACCTTCTATTACCTTAGAAAAAAGAGGCGCCGTGTCTCAGTTAAAGCTCGGGGTATATGCCACCGGTCGGTTCCGTAGGCTGATCTCCTGCGTGCCTTCCTTTCCCGTACACTCTTACCTTTGGGGATCAAGCTCCGGCACTCACTTCCCAAATCCATGCTTGCTTCAGAAGCGCTCTCGTCCTCCTCCTCCTCCCCCCACCCCAATTCTGGAGCATCGCAGCCAACGCGCGCCCCGCAGAAACGGGCAAGGGCGACACAGGCTCCCCGCAGCAGGGGGTCCTCCCCACTGCCTCCCTCCTCGTGCCGCACAGCGCAAGCGAGGCTGCACCGACTCACCTGTTCGGGGCAGCGCGGCGGTGGGCGGTGGCCGCCGCGACTGAGCGGGCGTCCCTCTCCAGCGGCGGCGAAGGCGCCCCGAGCTCAGGACGCCCGCTCGAGCTCGCGCAGGGGAGGGGCTGCGGTGTCATAGACCAGACACGACCCTTCCCTCCTCCTCTACTTATGGGGGAAGGGAGGGGCGGTGCGCACGGCGATCAGGTGACAGCACTGCGCCCTACACTGCAGAGCCGGGTGGTTCCCGGCAGGTGGGGGCAGGGGATGAGGTGGGGGAGGGGGGACCCTCCGCCCGCCGCATTCGGATCCGGAGCTCCCCGGGCGAGCGGGCGGCGGGGCGAAGGCGGTAGCCGTCCGCTCGGCTGGCACGCCAGCCTCCTGGGGCGAGTTCAGGGCCCTTCCATGGATTCGCCGCTCTCGCCCTGCGCGAGGGAGCCGCCACGCGGGTGCCTTGGAAGAAGGCAGGCGGGCAGACCGTCGTCCCCGGTGGCGTTGGCTTCGCAGTCCTTCAGCAGGCACACGAGGGCGAGGGCGAGGCCCGGGCTCCCCGGGGGAGGGGCGCGTAATGCACGCGTGCCGGCTGGGGAGGCACCCCCTCGCTTCTCATGCCGCCCGCCCGCTTGCAGCCCAGCGCCTTTCAAGACAAGCCAGCCTTCTTCGCGCGTCCGCCCAGGCTCTGCCGCGGTTTTTAAATTCGCGGATCCGTGAGCTGCGTGGACTGCGTCTGCACAGATGTGCCCAGAGGGTGGGGACTTGAAAGCCAAATCGCATCAGAGGAGAAGTGGGGGGTGGGGGCTGAAAGCAATTTAGCAGCAAACCGGTGCTCCATGCTACAGGATGCATGGACGTGGGCGTGGCCGCTCTAAATCGGCTCCCCCCAAATCTTTATCTTTAACCGCACTTATAATCGAGAGACTACAACGATGCTACGCCAACGCTTACTTTAGGCGTAAGATTCACTGAAATCAGTGAATTCAAAGCAGAAGCGCATAGGCGATTCATGAGCAAATAATCTGTAGCGTTACTTCCATCGCGTGCTTTGCTGCCCTCCTCGGTCACAAGGAAGACGAACCACAGAAGAGTATTTTTTACTACTGACTTGATAGATCCGTTTGTCTGCATTGTGCATGAAACTGCTTTCCTTACAGCAGTCTGCCAGAAACAAAGACATCCATTGAGTTTTAAAATCTCTCATAGTTACCCATCTGTGATAGTACAGCTAGTTTTCCTGCGGCGGGCAAGAGTGATAAAACACAGTTTGTACAAATACGTGTCGTTGCTTTTGAAGAGGCGTTATAAAAGGGTTCTATCCCCACCCAGGCTGGAGTGCAAAGGGCAAATCTGTAACTAATGGCCTAAATTTTCTGTAGCTTATGTGCTGCAGGTTCTTTCTTGGTGGGGATGTATTTTGCTATCTCCCTTCAGGGGAGTGATTGCAATTGAGTGAATGCAACTCCCCAAGTCAAGAAGTGCCAACAAGTTAAGAATCTGTGTGTAAATTAGTTTATTCTCAGTGATATTTAAAATTGCTAACAACATGGAGAATGCGGTCGTGATTAGAAAGGGTGATCTTTGGCCTTGGGTGTCCGTAGGTGAGGTCGGAATTGTCCGTGTGGCTTCCAATATGTCACTGAGGGACCGGAAAATGGCGCTGTGTGATTGGGGGGAATGTCTGCAATTTAGGGCTAATAGAGTTGGGTGGCATCCCACCAGAATAGGGATCGCATGCTGCTTTGGGGATGTTTACATCGGAAAAGAAAGATGAAGGCAAGTTCGATCTGCCTAGACAGCTTTCTTCCCTATTGCTGTATGTGCACGGTTCGCTATGGCTACATCTGGCTGTGTGCACGTGTTCATCCGCTCTTCCTTCCTTGTTCCGGAGCCAAACCCAGGGATTCCGGTGCTCAGATATAGCTTACATTTTGCTCTGCGGAAATGAGGATGCAGATACAATAGTTATCCGAAAGCGCTTCAAACACTAGGCACTGCGCAATCTTCAAGATAAAGCGCGTTCAAGCTTAGGGTCTATCATTTCCCCACCCAGTTTAACAAAATCTGACTTTCGAAAAATAAGAGAATCTTTTAGCTACCCAATCCTGTGCGTGGGGAGTAGAATCAATTCCCTGCAGAGAATTAGAGCGCAACCCTATATGAAGAGAGGTACGTCCTAGCGAGCTTGCTGGGTAAAGGGTGCACAGGATTGCAAACTGTGTCCGTGTGTGGCAGAAAAAGCAACACACTGGGAGGTGTAGAGCATTTTCTTGTCTCAACACGCACAGGATTGCATAGAAAAGGGTGATGTGGAAATGCCACGTGGCCGCCTTGTCCGCACCATGCGAGTCCCCCTGCGGAGGCCTTTGCTGCTGCAGCAGTGACCCCATCCAACGCAGAAAACTCGGCGGGACTGGAGAGTCAACGGGACTTGGGAGCATGGCTGATCCCGCCGCCAGGCGCGGCTGGGGCCCGCCCACGCGGCGATAGTCCCGGCCCAGCAGCCCGATCTCCGTGGCGCGCTGCCGCCTGCCTCAGTCTCTCTCGCTTTCCAGCCGCCTTGCTAGGAGGAAGCGTGCACAAACGGCGAGCGTGTGCCACAGCGAACCAGGAGACGGCCCTGAGACCCTTTATTAGACTGAGCCTTCCGCCGCCGCCGCCGCCTTCCCCCGGTGAGAGACGCTTCCAGCATAGCAGCGAACGCCCGGGCGAGCAGCGTTTGCGCCGCGTTTGCAGCTGAGCTGGCCTGAACCAGCTCACAGGGGGCCTTTTAATAGATGGCCAAGAAAAGCGCAGCTAAAAACGCCGGGCGCGGGGGAGGGCGTTAAGGCGGGCATGTATATGCGGACCTAACAGAAGACCGCTTGTTCCTCGCGCGCGTGGCAGGTTGGAGGGCGCCTGCCGCCGCCCGGCCCTGCCTTGTCTCCGCTATGCGACGGAGGCGCGCAGTTTGTTAGAAAGGTCAAATTAAAACCATTCAGACTAGTGATGCGAGAAGGGTCAGCGTGAACGCCGAAACTGGACTACACATGACTAGTCATCGTCTGTAAAAATAATTGCTTTTCCGCTCTGGAAAAAAATGAAACCTATGAGTTCGATGGCATTAAACCTGTTTTTTCCCATTTGTTTTTCCTTGTTTGAATTGCAGAAGAAGTAAGAAGTTTCCGAAATACGTCCGCCCACCACCACACTCACGATAGAATGATGTGCATTGTGTATCATTCACATTCTCCAATACATGAATGCCATGATTGTAAAATATGTGTATTAGTATTTTCTTATGTTGCTGTGCAGCTTTAATGAGACCGGAACTCCCGTCCTCAATTAAGTTCTTTTTCAAACCAATTCAAAGCATCCTGGACTGGACGATTAGGACCTATTGTTGAAAAATCAATATTTAATTGCTTAAACAAATAACAGAGGCTTGTTCATCCTAAACAATATCGCACTGGATGGAATGCTTTTCCCCTATATAGTTATGAAGAACTTTTTCCCCTTCCTGCTTTATAAAATGGAGCTGCCATCAAACATATACATTGGCATGATATATATTTTTAAAAAGCTTAATCGAATGTGTTGTTGAAGGAGGCCTCCAATTTAACTTATATTTCGACTGGGAAAAGGCCAAACAAGAAGGCTATTAGCGAACTATTCACATTAGGGTGCAATCCTGAATGTCCCTTTTCACCAGAGTGCAGCTGAAATCAAGCAGGACTACAGAAGAGCGCATTTTTTTCTCAGAGGGCTTGTGCAGAAGAAGTCAATCCTGCATTATGAGTTCTTATTTACACTTCCATCCCTGCAAATAAAATATCAAAAGGCCATTATAATTATACTGTATAAAACAATTATTATTCTTAATATTAACCACTGTGGAGCCAGCTAAAAATAGGAAGGACTGTCTGGTTTTCTCAAGATTCTGTTGGAAGTTACTTAAATATCCAGTAACAAATATGAGGCTTTTAAAAAGATAAAACTAATTTGTAAAGAGTAAAGCAGGAATCACTTCCATTTTAAATGAAATCAATATCTGATGACAAGTTAACATTATTAGCAACTGAGTCCAATTCCTAATCAGAAATAAACACTGCCCAACAAATTCACTTGGGGTGGGTGACTTCTGCAGAATTCTGAAGTCTCTGCCAAAAAACCTGATGCTTTTTGTAACTATAGAACTTGAATATACTTTGGAACAATCATTTTAATAATAGCATCCTGATTTTTGTGCTACATGTAAAGTTTAGAATATATTTATCTAAATTTAAAAAAATGCAAAGAAAATTATACAAACTACTAAAATATGAGAAATCTTGACTGGGTGGCTGGGTTTTTTTTAAAATGGGAGACTTACGAATCAACCAACATTGCAAACGATATACCGTAAAATGTCTTAAATAACTGGAAACTCTGCCTGGTTTTGCACTGGGCTGAATATAAAAACTTAGAACTAAGTGAAACTGTCAGGTGCCTTTTGACCAATGAAGCCACACCACGTTCTGGGCTTTGTCTTGATCTCTGAAAGACAGGAGTGTTTGGGTTTGACCCTAATACTTGGATAAAAGGAGGCTGCAATTTTCCTATTGTCTGGAGAGAGGAAATTTGCTAACAGAGTCATACAGACCTGAAGAAGACCCACAAAATGCTGAGTCTGGCGCATGCTGACAAGCTCGGGTTGGATAGGATCCTGATTCCACTGTCTCTTTTGCTATTACTCCTGCCATTCACATGTAGGATCCTGACCCTGCTGGTGCCAACTTTTTAGAAATAAACATGTGAGGGATGTTGCAATATTTACTTCCTTTGCAGAAGGAAGTGTTAAATAACACAGTACATAATCTTCCCAACTCTATCAATTAATCGATAATCAATCCAGTGTACAGGGGGTATAATTCTGTTTTTTCCTGTCGTTTTAAAGGGGAAAATTCAGCGATTGATAATGCCATGCTAAAATGACCTTCTCAGGGAAAGTTGAATTTCAGCTCACGCGGTGTTTATACAGATGAGGGTTAAGGTGTAAAACAATTCGGTTCAAAGCTATGAGGAAGCGCTGCCAATGCACACGTTTGGAAGGGCCGACGTTGCCAGATTTTAAATAAAAGACCCACCTACTGTCACAGCAGGATAAACTTTTTTATTTAAGAGGAAGACGGGAGAAGTTTGAGCAGATGAACTTTAGATCCAGTAAGTGTTGTTCGGACAGATTCCAATCTCAAGCTTTTTTAGGTTGTGCTTTTTTTTTTTTTTAAATAACAACTCTGACCACTAAACTGGACAGCTTGTTCTCTCGAGTCAATCGTGGCAAAACGCTAACATAGATTCTGGTGAATCTACGTCCACGACTGTCTCTTGATGCGCATATCCAGCTCATCACGCTCAGTGCCTTTTCCGTATGTTAACTTCGCGCCGCTCCGCAGGACTGGCTGCTGCTCTTTTCGAGGACTCTCCTCGCAAAACTCCGCGGCTCGCCGGCTTGGCTTGACGTTGCGGGCTGAAACGTGCGCGCCCGACTCACGCCGTGCACCGCCGGAGCGCTCAGAAAGGCGTCGCGGGTTCCCCTCCGCCCGCTCCTCGAGGCTTGACAGAGTCAAAAACTTTAAAGCGGCGCTTGGTGGTGGCTAAGCACAGCGATCCCAGGCAAAGCAGGCCGCCGATCTCTGCTCTCGGGCTGCAGGGGCGGCGGGAAGAGAGGGAGCAGGCCTTCCGCCCTTTATTCCAAACGGCCGCCCTCTTGTCAAGCAGGGTATGTTAAGCTTTACACGCCCCATTGACAGCCCCGCCGCTCAGGAGGAAACGGAGAGAGGCCGCTTCCCTTCACCGCTGGCCTTTGCCGCCCCCGCCCCCGCCACACTTAGGGTAAAGACAACTGCTCCCCCCCCCTTTGTTTCTTTTTAGAAAGGACGTCAGGCTTTATATTTCCAGGCAGCGATTAGACCTCTGATAAAGTGGTCTATAATCCAGGAAAGTTTTGTGTCAGAATAAGGGCGCAATCCTATGCATATTTAGGCAGGAAAAAGGGCCTACCATGCTAAACCTGCTCTAGGCCTGCCCCCTCTCCCTCCAGCTTACATAGGATTGCATACTAAGTCTTTCTGGTGTTACCGGATTCTATTGTTTGTGTGCAAGAGAGGAGCAGTAATGCAATTTGTAAAAAGTAAGGGAAGGTATGTTTCTGAATGTGCAAAGGCTGAAAGAGAGATGGTTCTTTATGGCTGGAGCCCCAAATATTTCCTTTGGAGCCCTTGCCGCCCACCAGCATGCCGTTCATAGGCACTTGCTAAAATAAAGGTAAGGGGACCCTGATGATTTCTGTTATGTCTGATCTCCCTGGATTGGGAGGTTTGTTGCACGCATTTGCTTCACTTCTTACTGCCCCCTCCCCACTCTTTTAGCTTGAGTGTTTCCTTCTGAAATCAAATGCCCTCTTTTCCCAAACGGGTGTTTTTAGGAGACAGGGACTCTAAATCCTTTAAAGTTTTTAGAACATGTGAATTAGCATATATGCTCGTTTGTGCTTTTTTTCTGTCCTGTGGCAGGAAGCCTGGATCTTTGTGGTATCTAGCAGTATCTGTGTGTGCATGTTTGTACAGATAACACCGAACAGCCCCAAGCATTTTGCTGTCTGAGGCAAAGACGGACAACATGGTGACTCTGCTCTCACCCATTCTGTACATAGAAGCCAAGCAGGCTAGCAGTTGTATGATAGTTCAGCACCAACAATGAGACAACATTCTCCACCAGACCAGCAGGCAACCTTGGTACGGGGCACAGAAGGACCATGAGTTACACACAGTTCTGCCCTTCATCCCCTCACTGGTTCTCCCCATCTCCCAGCATCTCCCCAATAAGGCATTTGTCACATTCTGCCTACTGGCATGAATATGCATCCGTCTGCGTAGGTTAAAGAATAAAAATTATCTCCTGCAGGAGAAACTCCACTGCAACATGTGTTCTGATACACCTAAAAGGCATGGTGTGGAACACTGCTTTGCTTGCAGTCACTGGCCTATTTCAGTGCCCCAGGTCGCAAAACAAGAGCCTAGGCTGGCCTAGGGCTAAGGCTGCAATGCATACCTAATCGGGAGTAAAATGCATTAACTCTGTAGAATCACCAGGCAAGCTCCCTAGGCAACTCTGGGCCAGTCACAGACTTTTACCCTAACCTACCTCACAGGATTATTGTGAAGATAAAAGTAGAACTGGGGGACTGCAGAAACCACTTGAGTTCCTTGATAGAGGAAAACAGGCAGGGTATATGGTAAATAGATAAAATCCTTCATTTGGTAAATATAGGGGCAGGCTGCATGGGAAGTCTTCAATACAATTCTCACTTGCCATGCTATCCTAGACATGTCTAGTCAGAAGTAGGTATATGATTTTAGCCTTAGGCAAAACCGCTCTATCTCACCCTCTGTCCCTGCTAGGAGGACTATAATATAAGGATGGTAATAATGTTGACCTATTTTACACAACCACTGGGATAATAATGTAAATTGAGGGTGCTGTTACACCATGTCCTGCTTGCAGTTTTTCCATGGGCACCCAGCTGACCACTTCGTGAACAGAATACTGAACTAGATTGGTCTCATGCTGCATGGTTTTTCTTATGTCCTTAATTGCAGTGAACTCTTAAAAAGAGCTAAAACTACTGCATGTGTGAATGAACTACAACAGATCAAATTCCACAGAAATAGAAGGCGCTTTCCTGTCATCCATTGTTACTCCAAAAGTGGTCCTTTACAATGCATGAGGTTCACACACTCAGCTGTGTCGGCCATGCCATCAATCTACACACGTGTATGAGCAAGCTTTGTTTAAAAATAAAAACTGAAAGGAATGCCTTCTTCGTACGGATGAAGCAACTGGCAGTTGTAATTTCAATAAAAGCAGCAGCTCTTGCAAACAGCCAGCTTTGAGCATCTATGTATATGTTGTTTATGTCATTCTGAGTGCTTGCTGTCTTATGTTAATACAGGATCTGTGCACACAGTGCAATCTGTAGTACACTTGTCTTTGGCATTTCATCCCTGTGACATGATCTTGGGGAAAGACTGAGCAACTTCTTCATTTAGTATATTTCTCCTGTAAATTAAATTGTGGTACATTAGAGGTCACACATTACTGAACCACCAAGGAATCAACAAGCTCACAGCAAGGAAGGTGGGAAAGCTTCAAGAGCTAGATGTTCCCTCCCTCCTCCTCTTCTGCCCCACTGCTGCCCGCCATATGCTTAATAAAACATGTGATGGTGCTGCCTACTCA